GAAAAGCGGTCTCGAAAAAAAATTTTCATCTGACTCGTTGCAAATCAGGTCTAAAATGCTGTGGTCTTCACACTATTGAATAGCTCAAAGGTTATGACGATGCGACATTATACAAAGATAAATCCATCGCATACCGTTTTTCCCAAAAGTTAGAAACAATAATGTAAATAATGACGAGGTGCTCCTATTTTATTATAGTGTTAACGATTAAAAATGTTTACTTCTATTTCGATGAAATTGTTAAATCAGAATGAGAGTAAGACGAAAACTGAACTGAAAGGTGTCAAATTTGCAACTTATACTTTTGCACTCAAACAATTTCCATGTAGATTTTAGTCTTTTGTAGGCCGGTAGAATTGCCTGGCCTCACACTGCATTCCCTTCACATTTCCAGATTTATACTTAGATGCTTACCTCGTTGTAGTGCTATCCATAGGGAAAGCAGATGGTGTGCTCGGAGATGTCATTTCCGGTCCTAATCTGATCACCGCAGCCTGTATTAAAACTATTATTGTAGTGAGCGATAGAACACAGCGCATAATTCGAATCTAGGGTCATTTTCCCAAAACTCCATGAAACATTTAGCTATTAAAGCACTAGATATTAACTACGTATTTTCAATTGTCATATGAGCTCCTATATTGCATTTTTGAGACATCATTTTCGGTAAGTTGATCAACACATGAATAGGAAAGGAAAAGTTTTTTCCCAACCGCATTTCCTTTCTAATTTATTTCTGAAAATCGCAACTTGGAACAGCTAACTTTGTCAAATAATGATTTACTTTCAAATAAAAAAAATTCCAATAGTAAAAGCATAAAACCGACTCTTTTTCCAAGAAAGATCACGCAACGAAGTTGGCTTGTGGGAGGAGAGACCCTTCTGAAATAAAAACTAAAATTAAGGAACATTTAACATCATTGTAAATGGAGGTATCTAAATGAAATATCCGCGAAGTTACTTGGTAAGTAGCAAATTTGATTGAAGAGAATGATAACCTCAGGTGAGAGGTAACCGAAGGTGGAGTTGATGTTTACAGAATATTCATGCAGATTTATCCATAATATATTCAGGTGTATTTCTACTTACAAAGAAAATTTGTTTTCTTGAGTCTTGGG